CAGGTTTTATAATGAGACTGTAGCAATTCAGTCATATCTTCGAGCTCCATTTCCATTGTAGTTCTCTTGCTATTTCCACTACATCTACAGTTACTTCCTCTACTTTTCAGGTTACTGAAGTCTTGAACTTCTCAAAGTTATATATGAGGGTTTGACCTTCTCCAGTGAATCACAGATGTTCTTAATGGCATGTAGAATGGCAAATACTTTCCAGAAGGTTTTCAGTTTACTTTGCCCAGACCCATCAGAATAATCATTTATCTATGGCAGCTACTGCCTTATGAAATGTATTTCTTAAATAACAAGACTTGAAAGTCAAAATGACTCCTTGATTTATGGGGTACAGAAAGGATGTTGTGTTAGCAGGCATGAAAACAACATTCACCTTCTGTACAATTCCATCAGAGCTCCTGGGTGACCCAATGCATTATCAAAGAGAAGCAATATTTTGAAAGGAATCTATTTTCTGAGCAGTAGGTCTCAACAGTGGGCTTAAAATATTCAGTAAACCACACTGTAATCAGAATCAGTTGTGCTGTCATCCAGGATTTGTTGCTCCATTTCAAGAGCATAGGCAGAGTAGATTTGACATAATTCTTAAAGGCCTTAAGATTTTCAGAATAGTCAATGAGCATTGGCTTCAAATGAAAGTCGCCAGGTTCATTAGCCCCTAACAAGAGTCAGCATGTCCTTTAAAACTTTGAAGCTAGGCATTGACTTCTCTTCTCTAGCTATGAAAGTCCTAAATTACATCTTCTTCCAATAGAAAGCTGGCTTATCAACATTGAAAATCTTTTGTTTAATGTGGCTACCTTTAACAATTATCTTAGCTAAATCTTTTGGATAACTTACTGCAGTGTCTACATCAACACCTGCCGCTTCATATTATACAAAGACGCCTTCTTTACTTAAGCCTTATGAACCAATGTTCAGACTTTTCTTCTGCAGTTTCCTCACTTCTTCAGCCTTGATAGAGTTGAAGAGAGTTATATCCTTATTCTGGATTATGCTTTGGCTTAAGGGAATGCTATAGCTCATTTGATTTTCTATCCAGACCACTAAAAATTTCTCCATATCAGCAATAATTCTTATTATTTGTGAGTTCACTGGAGTAGCTCTTTTAATTTTTTTAAAGAACTTTTCCTTTGCATTCTTAATTTGGCTAAATGTTTGGTGCAAGAGGCCTAGCTTTCTGCCTATCTGAGGTTTTGACATGTCTTCCTCACTAAGCGTAATCATTTCTAGCTTTTGGTTTAAAGTGAGAGCCATATGATGCTTCCTTTCACTTTAACTTAGATGTCATTATAGGGTCATTATTTGCCTAAATTCAGTGTTGTTATGTCTCAAGGAATAAGGAGGCCTGAGGAGAGGGATAGAGATGAGGGAATAGGCAGACAGTGGAGTAGTCAGAACACACACAACATTTACTGATCAAGTTCACTGTCTTATATGGCACAGTTCATGGCACCCCTAAACAATTGTATTAGTAACATCTGTATTAGTCTGTCTTCACACTGCTATAAAGCATACCCAAGACTGGATTATTTCTAAAGAAAGGAGGTTTAATTAACTCACAGTTCCACAGGGCTGGAGAAGCCTCAGGAAACTTATAGTCATGGCAAAAGGGGAAGAGGCACATCTCACACAGTGACAGGCGAGAGAGAGTGGTGAGCAAACAGGAAAGAGCCCCTTATAAAGTCATCAGATCTCGTGAGATCTCACTCACTATCATGAGAACAGCATGGGGCAAATCACCCCCATGATCCAATCACCTCCCACCAATTCTCTCCCTTGACGTGTGAGGATTACAATTCAAGATGAGATTTGGGTGGGGACACAAAGCCAAACTATATCAACATCCAAAATCACTAAATCACAGATCATCATAACAGACACCAAAATAATGAAACAACCAGGCATGGTGGCTCATGCCCATAATCCCAACACTTTGAGAGACCAAGGCAAGAGAATTGCTTGAAGTCAAGAGTTCAAGACCAGCCTGGAAAACACAGCCAGACCCCATCTTTATGAAAAATAAAAATAATGAAAATTTTTCAGATATTATTAATTACCAAAATGTGATGCGGAGACAAAAAGTGAGCACAAGCTGTTGGAAAAATGGTGCTAATAGAATTGCTCAACACAGGTTGTCACAAACCTTCAATTTATATATTTAAAAAAGCAATGTCTGCAATGTACAATAAAGCAAAGTGCGATCAATGGAGGTGTGGCTGTATTTGAAAAAATAAGTACTGAAATTTTCCTAATTTGATTTTTTTTTAAACTATAGATGCAAGAAACTTGGCAAACTTTAAGCAGGAGAAATACAAATAAAACTATGCCTATACACATCAGGCATAGTTTCATTTTCAAACTGCCAAAAACCAAAGATAAAGAGAAAAGCTTAAAGCAGCCAGAGGAAGAAAAGACATATTACAGAAAGAGGGACAGCAGGAACAATGGCTCTCCTAGGTTTCTGGCTTCTCCTAGGAAAGAATGGAAGCTATCTGTAAAGTGCTGAAAGGAAAGGAAACAGTTCATCCAAAAATCTTTATCCACTGAAAATGTCCTTTAAAACTGAGAATGAAGTGGACATTGTCATATAAAAGAACCTGTGAGCATTTGTTGTCAGCAGATTTACATTACTGCACAACATGTGAATAGATCTTCTTCAGTCTGAAGGGAAATGATATCAGGTGGGAACTTCAGTCTGCAAGAAGAAAAGAGGAGCTCTAGAAACGTCAAATAGCTAGGGAAATACAAACTGTATATTTGGACGTATTTTTCTTGGATTTCTTAAAAGACAACTGACAGTTTATAACAGATATAATACCATTCTAAGGTGGATGTTCTTATGTATGTAGAAGTAAAAGGTATGACAGCAAAAGCACCAAAGATGGGGTGGGCAGGCAAATGAAGTGATGCCAAGGCAAGGTTATTATTACCAGCGTGAGGTGGGAACCAGGAAGCATCCATTGTCAAGTGGGAAGTGATAAAATATTAACCTTTAATAAATGTTGATAAGGATTCATTGTTAGTTCTAGAGGAACCACTAAAAATTGTTTTAAAGGCAGGGTGCAGTGGCTCATGCCTGTAATCCCAGCACTTTGGGATGCTGAGGCGGGCGATCACCTGAGGTCAGGAGTTCAAGACCAGCCTGGCCAACATAGTGAAATCCCATCTCTACTAAAAATACAAAAAATTAGCAGGGCATGGTGGCGCATGCCTGTAATTCCAGCTACCTGGGAGGCTGAGGCTAGAGAATCACTTGAACCCGGGAGGTGGAGGCTGCAGTGAGCTGAGATTGCACCACTGCACTCCAGCCTGGGTGACAGAGTGAGACTCCATCCCAAAAAAAAAGTTGTTTTAAAATATGACTAAGAAGCCAGTAGAGGAAATAAAATATATTCCAAAAGATTACATATCAATCCAAAAGAAAGCAGGAAAGTAACAACAGAAAAATGAAAAGTAAAAGGGACAAGTGGAAAATAGCAAGGAAGCAGACTTCAGGCCAAACATATAAACAATCACTTTAAATGTTAGAAGCTCTTCAGGACACAAAGAAGTTGAAAGTGAAAAGCCAGACTATATAAAGAACTATTACCACCTAATAATAATGAGATAACCCAATGTATTAGAAAGGACAAACCGCTTGAATAGATCCTATTTCACAAAAGTAGCTGGGTGAACGATCAATAAAAACATGAGAAGATGCTGAACATTATCAGTCACCAGGAAAAAGAAGTTAAAAAGGTAAACATCACAAGAAGTCAGTTGCAGGGGTGAAGGGACAGTACTGTGCAGTTACAGTCAGCTAACCTGGGTTCAAATCTTGGTCCTGACACTACTTTGCATGGGACCTTGGGCAAGATATTTGACTTTGCTAACCAACAGTTCCCTTAACTTGAAAAAAGAAAAAAAAAAAAAAGCCAGGTGTACTGGCTCACACCTGTAATCCCAGTCCTTTGGGAGGCCAAGGCAGCTAGCTCACAAGGTCAGGAGTTCAAGACCAGCCTGGCCAACATGGGGAAACCCCACCTCTACCAAAAATACAAAAATTAGCTGGGTGTGGTGGTGGGCACCTGTAATCCCAGCTACTTGGGACGCTGAGGCAGGAGAATCACTTGAACCTGGGAGGCAGAGGTTGCAGTGAGCTGAGATCACACCACTGCACTCTAGCCTGAGTGATAAAGAGTTAAAAAAAAAAAAGTGAAGTGGCATAATAACAGTGCCTACAGATTGTGTGCTTTAACTAATGATTTCTATTCCCTGGTACACAGTAATCATTAATTAACTGTTAGATGCTATTGTTGTTTTTAAGCTATCCCAGCAGCAGCAGGAATAGGAAGAAAGCCCACTGTGGCTGGGTGTGGTGGCTCACACCTATAATCCCAGCACTTTGAGAGGCCGACATGATCACTTGAGGTCAGGAGTTCAGGACCAGCCCGGCCAACATGGTGAAACTCTGTCTCTACTAAAAATACAACAATTAACCAGCAATGATGGCACTTGCCTATAATCCCAGCTACTCGGGAGGCTAATGCAGGAGAATCACTTGAACCAGGAAGACGGAGGTTGCAGTGAGCCGAGTCACACCATTGCACTCCAGCCTAGGCAACACAGTGAGACCTGGTCTCAAAAAAAAAGAAAGAAAGAAAAGCCCATTGCCACTTACCTCAGAGGTCTCACTTGTTTTCCAGAGGTAGCCAGCTGTCCCCACCAGGAAAGTGCTGGCATTGGACAGTCCTGCTCTAGCCTCTTCTAAAGCAAGCCCAGGCTACTTAATAATCTCTCATTAGGGAGGAACCGGACTGGAATCCCTAATGAGAAAAGCTGACTGGCAAGGATCCCGGTATGTTGCAGGGGTCCTGTCACCCTGCTACCTGTGCTTCATATGCCAGACAATGCTAACAAAGAGAAGGAGCCCTTGAAAATGTGCAGAGGACCCTCGGCTCACCCCTGCTCTTCTCTCCTTCCTCCCTTTCTCCCGGTGAATGCAGGTGATCTTCCGAAACGAGGTGACAAATGAGTTCCTGTACTACACAGTGAGTTTCAGGGCCATCCCTTCAGGCATCATCAAAACCATCGAGATGGTGACCCCCGTCCGGCAGATTGCATCAGCCTCCATCAAGCTGGAGAACCCTCTGCCCTACTCGGTGACCTTCTCCGTGGAATGCCGGATACCGGACATCGCCCTCCCCTCCCAGTTTGTGGTGCCTCCCAACTCCGAGGTATGGCCCCTTGGCTGTCAGGGGCTCCCTGAGAGCTGAGATAGTGGCCTCCACCCTTGAGACCTCTGGATCCACATTCTGCATCCCCGGAGGGTGGACCGGCTCTGGCAGTGGTCAGGAAGGCAGGGGATGGAACCATCACCCTCACGTTCCTTTCCTTATTGCTGAAATCCTCACATGAGCTTGGGCAGATAGTTTGGAATTCTCTCTTATGAACCTTGTCTCTATGATTTGTTTGCTTGTTTTGTTCCAGCTAAAACTTTTTTTTTTGGTTTTTGATCATTACAAAAATAGTATAGAGTCCAGGTACGGTGGCTCATGCCTGTAATCCCACCACTTTGGGAGGCCAGGGAGGGCAGATCACTTGAGGTCAGGAGTTTGAGACCAGCCTGGCTAAGATGGTAAAAGCCTGTCTTTACTAAAAATACAAAAATTAGCTCACTAGTAGTGGCGGGTGCCTGTAATCCCAGCTACTCGAGAGGCTGAGACAGAAGAATTGCTTGAACCCGGGAGGCAGAGGTTGCAGTGAGCCGAGATCACGCCACTGCACTCCAGCCTGGCCGACAGAGTGAGATTCTGTTTCAAAATAATAAAATAAAATAAAAGTAATAAAGAATAGGTGTAGTGAAAGGAAAACAAGGTACTTAATAATGCACGCACACGTAGATGTACTACTGCAGGAAGGAGCAAAAGAAAACTTTGACAGTGGTTAGGAGGGCGTGGCTGGAATTAAAGAGCTGTGAACTGGTAGGGAGATGAACTTTCTTTAGATTCTTTTTATCAGGTTATCACTCCAAATTCTCCCTGCCCAGATTCTATCAAATCTCTTCTGTTTCTCCACCTTCAGCCCACCTGATGAGTTCCTCTCACTCCAGACCCAGCCAACTTCCTTCCCGTTCAGAATCTACAGTCCATTTTGTTCTTCAGAGCAAGTCTCCATGCCCTTTAATTTTGATGTGTTTTATTGTGAACTATAAAATCTATACTGAAAAGTCTATAAAACATATATATATATATATATATATATATTCCTGTAATTTATTACAACGTGTATTTCAAACAAATAATTATGAAATAAATCTCCGTGTAAGCAAAACCCAGGCCAAGAACTATGAAATTGCCATCACCCCAGAAACCTCCTTCAGCCGTGTGCCCCTCCCCAATCACAACACCCTCCCTGTCTCACCCCTCAGAGCTACCAGTGTCCTTGTTTTGTGATGATCATTTTGTTGTTGTTGTTGTTTTTGAGAACACAGTTTAGATTTGCCTGTTTTTGACCTTTCTGTGAGAGAAATCAGAGCACATGCTTTCTGTAACATCTTCTTTCTTTTGCTCAATGTTGTGATTGTGACATGTATCCGTTCTGTTGCACGCAGTTGAGGTTCATTTATCTTTGCTGCTGTGGAATATACTAATTTGTCTACTACTATTCAGTTCCTTTAATGGGTTATTGGACTACTTAGATTTTCTGTTGCTTCCTGAGTCAGTAATAAGATCATGTTCATTTCCTCCATATATTAAAATGTTGGTATAAAGTTGTTAATATCTTATTACCTTTTTCATGTGACATCGCTTTTTCATTTCATCTCACTCTGTCTCCCAGGCTGGAGTGCAGTGGTATGATCATGACTCACTGCGACTTCAACCTCCCCGGTCTCAGGTGATCTTCCCGCCTCAGCCTCCCAAGTAGCTGAGACTACAGGTGCGTGTTACCACACCTGCCTAATTTCTATATATTTTTGTAGGCTCATTTTGAGCTCCTGGGCTCAAGCAGTCCACCCGCTTCAGCCTCCCAAAGTGTTGAGGCAGGTGGATTGCTTGCACCCAAGAGTTACAGGCCTGAGTCACTACGTCCAGCCATATTTGGTTTTTAATCCATGCTAGCAACCTTTACTTTTCACTGGCACATTTATATTATTTGTATTTAATAAATTGACCTAGTCAAGTTTATATACCCCCATGTGCTTTCTCATTATCTAGGTTGTTCTTTTTTCTTTTTCTCCTTTGTTTTGTAGATATCTCTTCCTGTCTTGTCTTCATTATTGCTCTGCTCATCATTCACTCTTTTAGGATAATAACTTTGTGTATAATTCTACCATCCTCCTTTTCCATTGCTCATGCTAGATTTTTCCATACTCTTGGAAGGAGAAGGTAGCCTAGGTATCTAAGGCTTTCTCCTCTATTGTAACTGCGAGATGTTGATTTTTTTTTTTCAAATACAGCCTTATGCGTTTAACATTTATTTTCTCTGTTCTCATTCCCATTTTTTTTTTTTCTGAGTTCTATTTTTCCTTTACCCCTAGTGTCTCTCAGTTGCGGTCAAATAGATTCCACTTTCTTAGATTTCTCTCGGTGCAGGTGTTTTATCTTAGAAAGGAGCTTCAGTCACTTGGCTTTGTGCATTCAAATGGCCTATACTGCCTCATATTGTCCAGTCCTATCACAGCAGTTTTTGCAATTTACCATAAACTGGAGCCTGAAATCACTCCTCTACTTAAGGCTGCTGTTGCCAAATTGACCTGTCGGGTTTTCCAGGTTTTTACCTGTTCATTCAATGTCAGTGGAATAAAAGCTTCCCAGGTTGCATGAGATCCCTCAATTCAGAGATGATTCTGGTTTCTCGAGCTCTCAGGACTGATGATCCTTTGCCTTCCTTCTGCTTTTCCCATATGGTGGCTGATACTGTACCCATCTACTAGTGTTTAGTAGTTTGGTCCTATCCGCTAGTATTTTGGGATTTGAGGGGTTACCTTTGCACTTAGTTTTGTTATAAATGTCCATGCGGCCAGGTGCAGTGGCCCATGCTTGTAATCCTAGCACTTTGAGAGGCTGAGGCAGGTGGATTGCCTGAGCTCAGGAGCTCAAGACCAGCCTGGGCAACACAGTGAAACCTTGTCTCTGTTAAAATACAAAAAATTAGCCAGGCGTGGGCGGCCTGTGTCTGTAGTCCCAGCTACTTGGGAGGCTAAAGCAGGAGAATTGCTTGAACCCAGGAGGCAGAGGTTACAGTGAGCCCAGATTACACCACTGCACTCCAGCGTGGAAGACAGAGTGAGACTCCATCTCAAAAATAAATAAATGTTGACCATGTGTTCTTGCTGCTGTTAACCTAGTAGATCTGTGTGTTTTGTGGGGAGATTTGGGGAGATACCAAACTATGTTGCTACAGTCATCTTGCCCAGAGCCTGGAATTGCTTTTCACATGCTGTGAGCAGGAGTCAAGTTTTTTTTCTTTTCCAAGTGGATATAAATTGTCTCATGCTGTTTTTACTTAAAAGGCTATCTTTTCCCCAACTGCTCTGCAGGACCATTTATGAAATAAATCAAGCTCATTTATGCGTGGATCTGTTCTAGCTTTTCTATGATATCATAATGATTTTATTTGTGAATTTGTGCCAATATCATAGCATCCTAATTACTACCCACTTAGAGTAAGGTTTGATGTCTGGTAAAGCAATCAATCATTCCAGCTTTATGTTGAGACTTACTAACCTCTTATCTTACTGTTCTGCCAGAATATTTTAGCTATACTTGGCCCTTTACATTTCCATGTCAATTTTGAAATCAGCTTGTCAAGTTCCTCCGTAAAAAACAAAAAGAAAAGAAAAATAACCTGTTGGGATTTTGATTGGGATTACATTGAACCTATAGATTGTTTTGAGAATATATTAGTTATTTGTTGATCCATCACAAATGAACCAAAACTTAGCAGCTTAAAACAACAAACGTTTACTGTCTGTGCCGTTTCTGAGGATCAGGATTCAAGAGCAGCACCTTGGCTAAGCGGTTTGGGCTCAGGGTCTCTCAGGAGGTTGGAGTCAGGTTATCAGCCAGGACTCTAGTCATTTCGAGGCATGACTGGGGCTAGATTATCTGTTTCTAAATTCACCTATGGTTGCTGGAAAGGCCTTAGCTCCCTGCTGGCTGTTGGCTGGAGGCTTCAGTTCCTCACCATTTGGGCCTCTCCCTAGAGCTGCTTTCAATATGGCAGCTTGCTTCCCCTAGGATGAGAGATCTAAGAGAAAGAGTGCACAAGAAAAGAAGCCACAGTCTTTCATCATTTAATCTCAGAAGTGACATGCCATCCTTTCTGCCATATACCGGTGGTCACATAGGTCAGCCCCTGGTATCATGTGGGAGAGGACTACACGAGAGTGGGAATCCCCAGAGGTGGGGATCATTGAGGACCATTTTGAGCCTGTCTATCATAAGGAGGATTCATATCTTTACAATATTGAGATTTCCAATCCACGAGCAAATCTCCGCTTGTTTAAGGCCTTTTTAAGTTCTCTCAATAGCCCTTTTTTGGTTTTCTATGTAGAGACTTTATTCATCTTCTACTAGGCTCATTTCTAAATTTTATATATTTTTATGCTATTATAAATAGTACCTTTTTAAATTTTCATTCTCTGTTTGTTGTAAGCATATAGAAATATAACTGATTTTTGTATTGATTTTGTACCCAATCATCTTTTACAATTCACTTATTTCAGGTTGGTTGGTTGGTTGGTTGGTTTGTTTCTTACTCCATCACCCAGGCTGAGGTGCAGTGGCATGATCAGGCCCACTGCAACCTCCACTTCCCAGGTTCAAGTGATTCTCATGCCTCAACCTCCTGAGTAGCTGGGATTACAGGCATGCATCACCATGCATGGGTATTTTTGTATTTTTAGTAGAGACAGGGTTTCACCATGTTAGCCAGGCCAGTCTCGAACTCCTGGCCTCAAGTGATCCTCCTGCCTGGGCCTCCCAAAGTGCTGGGTTTAACAAGTGTGAGCTGCGGACGTGGCTAAAATTCACTTATTTTGTATATTGACTTTGTACCCAACTATCCTCTAAAATTCATTATGTTCAGGAGAAAGACTGGCATCCAATTTTTGTTTCTCCTATTATTCTTGCTGAATTTTGGTGTCAACTTTACGTTGTTTAGAGTGGGTTCCCTCTTTGTTTTTCCTCTGAGAGAATCTGTGGAATACTGGTATTCCTTCATCCTTGATTGTCTAGTATAACCTACAAGTAAAGCTTTATATACCTGGAATTTATTTAAGGATTTTTTTTTATTATTGATTACATTTCTCTAATGGTTATATTAATAGAATTATGTGGGTTTTCTATATCTTCTTGGGTCTGTTTTTATAAGTTATGTTTGTTTATACATGTGTCTGTTTTATCTAGTTTTTGAATTGTGATAAAATTATCTAAGTTCTTATACCATATCCTTTTTTGTTAAACATCTATAACTTCAGTTATATTCTTTTTTTTTCTGCTATTTTTCTTTTTTTGTGTATTTTATTGCGTTTTAGGTTTTGGGGTATGTGTGAAGAACATGCAGGATTGTTGTGTGGGTGATATTTTTCTTTTTAAAAACATTTTTTTAGAGATGGGGTCTCACTGTGTCTTACAGGCCGGAGTGCAGTGGTATGATCATAGCTCACTGCAGCCTTAAACTCCTGCAATCAAGGGCTCCTCTGCCTCAGCCTCCTGAGTAGCTAGGACTACAGGCATGTGCTGCCACACTCAGCTAATTTTTTTTTTTTTTTTTTTTAAAAAAAGCTCTCGCTATGCTGCCCAGGCTGGTCTCAAACTCTTAGGCTCAAGTGATCATCCTTCCTCACCCACCCAAAGTATAGGTGTGCGCCACTGCACCCAGCCTGGTATTTTTCAGTAAGAACTAGTTATTTTTTAAAATACCTACTCATAGTAGAATAAAACTTTACCTATATAAAAGTATATGAAATTGAAAATAAGTCTCCAGAATCCCATTTTCCCACACTAACATAAGCTACTGGTAACCGTGTGGGATACATTCTCACAGTCTCTTTCTATACATGCATAGACATACTCTTTTTTTTTTTTTTTTTGAGATGGAGTTTCACTCTTGTTACCCAGGCTGGAGTGCAATGGCGCGATCTCGGCTCACCGCAACCTCCGCCTCCTGGGTTCAGGCAATTCTCCTGCCTCAGCCTCCTGAGTAGCTGGGATTACAGGCATGCGCCACCATGCCCAGCTGATTTTTTGTATTTTTAGTAGAGACGGGGTTTCACCATGTTGACCAGGATGGTCTTGATCTCTTGACCTCATGATCCACCCGCCTCGGCCTCCCAAAGTGCTGGGATTACAGGCGTGAGCCACCGCGCCCGGCCAGACATACTCTTTACAAAAAAAGAGCTCACACTTTATATGCATTTCTGGAACCTCCTTTCTTCCACTTAAAACGTCATCAACACCTTTCATTTCAATGTGTATTGCTCTACCTCATCCTTTTTAGTGGCTGCACAATATTCCACTGAAGTGAGAAAACTGTAATGTATTTAACCAGTCTTCTACTAATGATACATTTGAATTGTTTTCCTCGTTCTGCTATATAAGGAATGCTCTTTGGTTCCTGCTTTGTTTTGCTATGGGCAATAATGAAGGATGGCAGAATCCAGGGCACTGTTCTGAGATTAGCCATGAGCAAAGAAGGAGCTGCCTAAGCTTCAGCCCTCCTGCGGGCAGCACTCACCCGTCTTCATATCTCCCTGCGTGTGCTTCTCAGGAGAAGGTCCAGCCCCTGCACTTAGATTCATGGGGATCCCAGATACAGAATCACCCGGACTAGAGAAAGCTAGGAGGGGAACAGGGGAGGAACGGTGGCTGGTATGGACAGAGGTTCCACAGGGGCAAGATCTTCATGAGCATGAGCACGATTTCTGCCCCCAACCTGCCTATGGAGCCTTGGGCAGGTCTGTAGGTGATGAGTTAGTCTTTCAGCATGACAGGAGCCTCTGTTTTCTCTTCCAGGGCACGTTCTCGTTTGAATTCCAGCCCCTGAAAGCTGGAGAAACCTTAGGAAGACTGACTTTGCACAGCACTGACTTGGGTTACTACCAGTATGAGCTCAATCTGAAAGCCACACCAGCACTTCCGGAAAAGCCCGTTCACTTCCATACTGCCCTTGGCAGCAGTCAAAACATCCTTGTGAAGTTCATCAATTACACACGGCAGAGGACAGAATACTACTGCAGGGTGGGTAGCCTCTGCTGTGCCCTCTACCCTTCCCTTGCAAGAATGCTGGGTCCAAAAACAATGAGAGGAGACACAGAGGGAGAATGAATGTGAGACTCAGAGAGACTCAGGTGCTTCATTGCCATGGTGACACCTGCCTCAGAGGCCTGAATCTAGCCTGGAAATGCCCAGCTAGAAACAAACAGTGTCAGGCCTGAGTTTTGCCATTATAGACTTTCTGTCTTAACAAGCTGTGATGGAGGGTAGGGGAGTTTTGTTTCCCGCAGCACACTCAGGGACCCAGAGAGGGAGACAGTATAGCTTAGTGGTCATGACATCGGCTGTGGAATCAAACAGACATGGGTTTGAATCCTGGCTTCGCCACTTATTCTTTGTATAAATAATTTGCTTAAGCTCTCTAAGCTTATCTATAAATGGGACTAATACCCCTGACCTTGCAGGATTGCTGTAAGGATTTTAAATATGTATCTAAAGCCATTTTCTTAGAACCTAGCCTATGGTAAGTGCCCCATATACATTAGCTGTTATATCAGTTGAAATATAGGTTCAACTACTAAAACAGAAACCCAAAGCTAGGTGCAGTGGTTCATGTCTGCAATCCCAGCCCTTTGGGAGGCAGGTGGGAAGATCACTGTAGCCAGGAGTTGAAGACCAGCCTGGACAACAGAGTGAGACCTCGTCTCTATTTTTAAAAATAGAATAAAATAAAAATTTAAAAAACAAAAACCACAAATAATAGCAAATTAGATGTTGGTTCCTCTCACAAATAACAGTCTGAGCATAAGCAGTTTGAGCTGGAATCGCAGCTTGCTGACACCAGGCACCCAATACCTTCTGTCCCAATGCTTTGCCCTCTCCCTGGAGTTGTTTTGGTCCACATGGGCCAAGATGGTTTATCGGGACATCCACATTCCAGCCAGCTACAAGGGAAGAGGGGACAGCTGTATATAGCACCTCCACTAATATTCCCTGGAACCAAACTTCACAGGACCACACTTATCAGCAAAGGAGCTAGGAAAGATAGCTTTTGTACTGGGCAGTCACATGCCCAGGTAAAATCAGAGACCTTGTGGCTGTAACCAAGAGGCAGAGGCTCTTGAGGAGTCTTATCAGCCAAGAGAGGCTAAGTTATATGCAGTAACAATCACAGAGGCTTAAGATGAAGATTTGTTCCTCATTTGAGCTATCTACCAGAGAGGCCGGCAGGGGAAACTGCTCATCTCAGTCCCTTGGGATTCCAGCAGCATCTCAGATATTTCCAGTACAGTACTGGAGGGGTGAAAAGACCCTGACAGGAGTTAAACTGGCAATGAAAGGCTCTAGCATGGAAGCGCACCTTTCGCTTCTGCTCACAGCCAGTTGTCTGAAACTAGTCCCACCCATCCACAAGCAGCCAGGATGTTTGGTCTTCCATGTGCATGGAAGGAAAGAACCCGATATAGGGGACCAGCCTCCGTGACTGCCCTATTGACATAATCTGGCTGTGTGTCTCAGTGCACATTATTAACATCTCTTTGCCTTTGTTTCTTTGTAGCAAAATGGAAATAATAATTAGTCATGCCTACCCTGCAGGGGAGTCATAAGGACACAGCTTTATAGCATTCCCAGTCTCACACAGACATAGTAGCTTGATGTCTAGGGGTGGAGGGACTGGGGTGGACTTGAGCTCCTGATGTGCTCCTCAGGATCTCACGTGAGCTGAGTTTGTTTGTTCCCCTTTCAGACAGACTGCACAGACTTCCACGCAGAAAAAATCATTAATGCAGCCCCAGGAGGCCAGAGCGGCACTGAAGCCAGTGTGGAAGTCTTCTTCGAGCCCAGCCATCTGGGTGAGACCAAGGGCATCCTCATCCTATCATCACTTGCAGGTGGGGAGTATATCATCCCCCTCTTTGGAACGGCTCTGCCTCCCAAGCCCCAAGGTCCCTTCCTGATCCGAGCCGGGTACAGCATAATCATCCCCTTCAAGAATATCTTCTATCATGTGGTGACCTTCTCCATCATCGTGGAGAACCCAGCCTTCAGCATTCGCGCTGTGGAGTCTGTGCGGCCCAAGAAGATCAACAACATCGCAGTCTTCTTTGAAGGAAACCCATCCGGCAGCAAAACCCCCATCACCACCAAGCTGATTGTGAGCTGCCCTCCTGGTGAAGGCAGTGAAGCTGGAATTAAATGGGTTTATTATCTAAAGGGGATCACCCTTTAGTGGTAACCAGAGTTACCTGCATCAACCAAAATCTACGCATTGTCTTAGCCTGACAAAGAATAGAGAAAACAATAAAAATTCTAAAGGAACTGTTTTTATTCTTCTTATACAATTATAGGGGCAGTTATTTCCATATTACATGTTTTCCAAATATAGATATGAAATATCTATTTCATATTAAACATTATAACTACACACAACAGATCTATATTTTAGACAACTGATTCGTTGTAAGTCCTTAAATTTCGTTTCTTGACATCACCCCAAAACTCAAGTACTTTGTAATAATCTCCATTTTTTACAAGAAGGCACAGGTATCACACTAATAACCTTCTACCGTACAACACTTAGCAGGGCGTGCCGCTGGGCACTGCAGTTTCTTTTAAGATCCAAAATGGTGGGGTTCCTCCTTGCCGCAGTGCACCAGAGCACGAATCTGAGGCGGCGGGAGTCATGGCAGGACAGGTGTTTAGAACGTTTCTCCCACTCTCTGACCGAGTATTGGTTGAAAGGAGTGCTGCTGAAACTGTAACCAAAGGAGGCATTACGCTTCCAAAAAATCTCAAGGAAAAGTATTGCAAGCAACAGTAGTCACTGTTGGATGGGGTTCTAAAGGAAAGGGTGGAGAGACTCAACCAGTTAGCGTGAAAGTTGGAGATAAAGTTCTTCTCCCAGAATATGGAGGTACCAGAGTAGTTCTAGATGGCAAGGATTATTTCCTATTTAGAGATGGTGATATTCTTGGAAGGTACGTAGACTGAAATAAGTCACTATTGAAATAGCATCAACGTGAAGCTGCCCATTCCACGGAAGTCCTGAAATCTTTCATCATGTAAATAATTTCCATATCTCTATTTTATAATAAACTAATGATAACTGATAAAAAAAATCCAAAATGGTTTTAAAAGCCCTTAAATATGACTATTTTGATGTGGCATTTTATTCTGCTTTCACATAAAAGCCAAATATTTCACATAAAAGCCAAATATTCTGCTTTCACATAAAAGTCAATATTTTCAAAGGGATGAACAGATACCATTAGGGCAACCCAGGGACGCTTCCGTCACTTTTTCTCTTGGCTTTTATGCTATCAGTGTCCAAATCCCACATCTGTCCTACACAGAAAGTTCTCACTGAAGTCCAGGACCTGGAGAATGGCTAATAGAGATCCCAGCTTCCACTGCCACACACACTCCCAGCCTTGGGTAGCACTTGGAGGAAGAGCAGGGATTCCCATCCCATCTGCACATCAGAACCACCTAACTCTCATTCAGACCCTCCCTCAACCCCATCTGATTTAATTGGTCCGGAGAGGGGTGTGGGCATCTTTATTATATACATAACTTGTACAGCAGAGTTGAGAACCAGTGCTACAGATCAGTCACCTGCCCCGCCATTTGTGCTGCAACTGAGTTAGGAAATCCCTGCCAGGGAAAGGACCACACCTCAGTTTGATACGTTGCAACTGTCCCTATTTTGTGTGCACCTAAAGCATGGTGATTAGTGCCTTTTTTCAAACATCACTCTGGAAGCTTCACCTCCAAGGAGCAGTGGGGCACCTGCCTCAGCCCAGAGACTTGGCTTCCCCTGGGTCTTGTGGTGTGTATTACTAGGACCACTTACCTCTCAGCATCACCTTTTGAAATAAAGATGGTTAAAGTCTGGCCCTGGAATGGATTTGCTTCTGCAGACATACACCTCTGACTGAGGGTCCCCCTGCATCTACCTGCTCCACATACTCATCCCCTACAGCCCTCCTGCAAGAGGGGGAGGAGGCTGGAAGAGTTGTTCCAGCATCACTACCCATGTGCTTTGGAGCCATTATTAAACTAAAGTTTCCTTGAACGCAAGCATTGCTGTAGGAGAAACTGCTTTGCACAGTTCAAGATTTAGGTATAATTTCTTACAATGTCACCAGCAGCCTGTTGCTACAAGTTATGTCATAACTTTTACATACCTTGTAATAGTGATTATGAATAGTTGTTACAGAACTATTACAAGTTCTAGCATCATAAGAGATTCTTGCTTCATCCAAGCATCATACAGATGCAGATGAATTATAACCATGAAATGATGACCAGTATGCAGCTGGGCACATCAGTTAGTCCCTAATCTAGAAGAGTTTCAACAGGAATGGCCACAGGTCAGAGAAGAGGAACAAGGATAGAAGGCAAGGGTGGCCCTTGGGCTTTATTTTTAGCACGACTGCTAGTTCAATTATGCATAAATAATGTTACCTAGTTGGCATTTTTGAAGATATTAGAGAAAAGAAACACTTCTTTCTAGGAACTTCGGACTTAAAGGTAGACACTGGTCTGGGCCTTGAATAAGAAACTGGTTACTTAGTAACCTGAGTCAGAATGTAATTTCAGGAGAAAAGAATACTTCTGTTAAAAAAAAAAATCCTTACTGTTTGAATTATTAAAAACTGTATCACATTTTGACCCTTGGGAAATTCAGTTCACCTCTAAGAAAAGGCCAAACCAAAAAGCAAAAGAAACAGATGAAATATTATATTAGATAAGGGTCCCGTGGTGATCAACACACTCTGGAGAAATAGAACTAAATCATTCCCATTGATTTACATTTTTTCAGTGTTTTGCATCAACCATCATCAAAATCCTAAAACCAAACTTTGCAAGACATTTGGAGACGTTCTTGGCAGTACTACTACTGCTTGTTAGTGCACCTACCTTCATTGTTAGGATTGTGTCGGCAAAGATTTTAACAGCTGTGAAAACCCCACCAGTATAGAAAAATACATTTTTTATGGATTGTCTAGACACCCTATCTCCATGACTTGCTGAGTTTGGGATTAACCTTTGTATTCATTTTCTATAGCTGCATAACAAATTACCACAAAACTAGGAGCTTAAAACAATACAAATTTATTAGCCCACAGTTTCCCTGGTTTGAGAGTCCAGTGTGACCTGGATTCTCAGCTCAGGGTTCCACAAGGCTGAAATCAAGGTGCTGGCCAGCTGCATCCTCATCAGGAGGCTCAACTATGGAAAGATCTGCTCCCAAGGACCCTCAGTGTGTTGGCAAAATTCATTTCCTTGTGGCCATGTGACTAAAGTCCTTATAGGAGAGTCTCTCTTCCACTTCAGATTTCTTCTCATCTCTTTTAAGTACTCGCTTGATTCAGTCGGGCCCACCCGAGTTAATCTCTCTTATTAATTCAACGTCAGCTGATTGGGAACCTTAATTACATTTGCAAAATCTCTTCTGCAATATTGCATAATATAATCATGTGAGTGATACACAGCCCATTACGTTTACAAGTCTTGTTCACACTGAAAGAGGGGATAATACAGGGCATGTACACAAACGGGTGGGAATATTGGAGGTCATTCTAGAATTCTGCCTACCTTTGCCATTCATTCATTGTGTCCCTGTTTCTGATCTATGAGTTGAGGATAATATTCCATTTTCAAGATTGTTATAAGGCACTTTTCATTCATTAGAGAAGAGTATCACCATCCATTCTAAAACTGTTTATATTTGATATTCTTTGAGCTCCACTGTAATCTAGCCCTTGTCCTAACTCCCTGTTCACTCTGAAAACTTATGATAATGTCTGATTCATCTTTCTGTCACTGCATGTTTACCACACTCCAGCCATAAATTGCTTTTAAATATTTGGCCACATAGTTGAGATTTCTGTTCCACCATGTAGTGTGATTCCCAAAGCATCTGAAGGGGCTGCTTTCCAGGGGACCCATGTAGAGACCTGAACTCAGCAGATCTGGGGCCTTTCTGTCTGTCTGTAACCAGCCATCCTAGGGATCAGAGCATGGTAAACACACCTCAAGTCCCAAATGGTGGGGTGACAGACACTATTGGTAACTGAGATCTTAGGTGGTAGACAGGTAGTGCCATTTTTAACTGAGAATTTATTTTGATGTGTTTAGAAAAAAATATACCTATTCAAACTCATGATTTTAGGGCATAAGCAAAGCTAAAAGAGATTTAAGTGTTTTTTTTGTTGTTTTTTTTTTTAGTGAATTGATTTGAGGAAAACATTAAATAGATATAGTATTATACAAGTGGCTAAAACATGGTGAAAGTGATGACAGTGTTACTCCAGTTAGGGAAACATGGGCATCCACAAAATTGGTAAGTGACCAAGTACTGAATGAACCAGTGAATTCGGTGAGTATTGAATCACGTTAAGTGAATCAGACTCCAGGAACCCCTTCGATCTCAGGAACGTCTACAGAAGCCCACCACGTGCCATCGATTGGGCAAGAGATACACACCCATTAAAGCACGTCTCAAACCACACTCCAGCTACCCTGCGTGCAGCCAGGATGATGTGCGCGTGGGGGATGGAGCCTTGCGAGGGCGTGGTTAATCCACGCGCGGCCCGTAGTGGGGGCGTGGCTGGAGAAAGGCGGGTCCTCGTGGCGGAAGGCGGAAGTGCTGTAGAATCATGTGACCCGAGTAACATGGCCGCTGTCCCGTGAGTGCTGCTAGTGCCGGGCGGGAGCTATTAGGCGTCCAGGGTCAGGTGTGCTGGAGCAGGGTCCAGGCCTGGGTTCCAGAGCGCGGCGGCGGGGCGAGGCAGACAAGCCCGGAGCGGCGTGGTCCATGCGCCGGCGCCGGGGGCAGTGCGGAGCCGCAGACTCCCCTGGCTCCGGCGCGGCCCCGGCAGCCGCGGGTTAAGGAGTAGCGAGGCTCCCGGAGCTATCGCCATGAACCCGGAGAAGGATTTCGCGCCGCTCACGCCTAACATCGTGCGCGCCCTCAATGACAAGCTATACGAAAAGCGGAAGGTGGCAGCGCTGGAGATTGAGAAGTAAGAGCCGTCAGGACCCCTCCCTGGGTATGCAGCCCTTGACTGCTCTGCTCCCCAGGGAGACTGCTCACGCCTTCCCAGCCAGTGTTACTTTCCCAGGTTGCAGGCCCTTACCTTAGTGCAGTGTTTCAGAGCAGATTGGGAGTCGTATCTGGGAGTCCCCGCTTTATTCCTGACTGGCTGTGTGATTTGGTCCCAGTTCTTTAACCTCCCGGTGCCACAAAGGGCTGCACTGAGAATGAAGTGACATAATGTATGAGTAGTGCTTGGCACCGTGCACGGCACATGGTGAGTCTTCGGTGCGGTGTCACCCAAGCCAGCAAATGAGGGAGTTGTGTCTTTGGTGGGAGAGAAGTCAGAAGCTGGAGAATTTACGGGTGATGCTGACCAGCTG